CTTATAGACTCACCCTCTACCTCCATAGACTCGCCAGTATTTTCTTCCCTTAAAATTGACAAAAATGGTGCCACATATTCTTCAATCGTGCCAGAAAAAACAATCACATCCTTGGCATTAATATGCAAGTGTTAAAAATATGAATTTTTGTTACTGGGTTTTTATCTTTTTTTTTCTTAATTAAGACTGGGGTTGTAATTTTTTTAAAAATAAACGAAAAGTGGTAAGCGAGCCTGAAACGTTTGAGAACTACTGTCTTAGAACATTTAGATCTAAAACTTTAAATCTGCCGCGCGGAAAATATTGCGCATATGAGTCATCTGACATTTAAGCTCCTCCCCCAAAATCGACCAACCAAAACAAACAATGGCTCAGAAAAAGAAAAACGCACACGTTTGTACGTGAGACAGAGGCAGCAGCCAAACAGGAGCCTCATGTAGGATTCAAAAAGGCAACAATGTTAACTTCAAAGGACAAAGTGAGGGTTTGGAGCAAGTGGAGAAAAGCAACAAATGAAAGACAATATGAGGATGTAGCCAGTGTTTTTATCGATAAGCGAGAGCTCAAATCACCAACAGTGTATTAGATCTATCTAAATAAGAAATGGAAGTTCTAATACGACAACGCTTGACTAACAGCACGTGTACAGGGAAATAAAAGACAATATCTATAAACCACCCTAGTTAGTAAGAGTCGGTTAAATAAGTCTCTTCTTGAGTGCGTGGTTCATCAGTGAAGCATTTCCAATAGCAATGTCACTAAATACGAGAATGAAAAATAGGAATGTATTTAGGAACAAACATTTGGGTGGGGTGGAGGGCAAGTTAAAATGTATACCTACAGGTGTGAAATGACTGGTCATAGCGTGAAAAGCATATTATTGCTAAGGGTGTCTAGGGGCATACCCCCCCCCAAAAAAAAGTGAACCAAAGGTGTGGTTAAAAACACTGGTTCTGCATAAATTTAAAAATTGAAACCCTTTTTTTGGGGGGGAGACAGAAACAAGTTGTGGAGGGACAAATTTCCCTTGTCCCTCTCCCCCTCATATCCGCCTATGACACCAAGATTAGTCTTCTTTGCAGAGGAAAGTCTAAAAGTTAACCGACTTGTGTTTCGCACAATTATCTCACTATCTTGCCACTGGGAGCTGAAACTAATACGACAATGAATATATTTTCTTCCATATACGATCTACATAGCTACTGTTTTATAAGGAAAATAAAGATCATGTGTACATCACGAATACTTCTGGCTTCAGATACCTTGCTCTCAAGTTATGATGCGTTTTACTAAAAAAAGATGATCCATTTTATATGTGTGTGTGTGTGTGTGTGTGTGTATCTGCGTTAGCATACATCATCCACAGTTGGCTGACCTATTCCAGTAATTCTTGGTATGATAACTGGAAACTGTCCGACGGTGTACTTTTTACCTTGTTTTAGGATTTTTGCCCGAGGAGGAGAAAATAAAAAACACACCTTGAAATAGGGCACATTTCCAGATTTATAACAAAAGAAAGAAGGAAGAGGAACGTTATCTAACATTGTCCTTTATAATATTTTTGCACGGGTATCTTCAGCTAATATCCTCCCTCCACTAAAGTATAACTTCGAAACAGTCCACTATATACCAGTAAGCCTGGAAGTTAGGGCCCTCGACTCGCAATTTGCGGATAGCGGGTTCGAATCACGTTCGCCTTTTGAGGCATGGGTGTTATAATGTGAAGGTCGATCCCACTATTCGTTAGTAAAAGAGTAACCCAGAATTGGCGGTGGGTAGTGTTGACTATCACTACAAAATTGGGGGCGGCCAGGGCAGATAGTCCTCGTGTAGCTTTGCGTGAAATTCAAAACAAACAAACAAATATATAACAGTAAAACGAAACAGTTTTTACCAGAATAGCAGCTTTTTCGATCGTGGGAGTATCATAGGATTTTTCTAACGATATTGCACCATATTTGTACATGTGTTTTATGTGAATAGATCAAAACATATCGCTTTAGTGTGTATGTCTCCTAGTTGTTAAAAAAAACAAAAACGAAATATATATAATCATGGAGTTTTATCTGTTTTACAGTCATGTTTGTACCAAGTCAGACCGGAAAATATTAACAGGTGTGTGTGTGTAGCCCTTTAAAAAAAATAAAAAATCAGCGGCGTCTCTAACTAACATGACTGGTTTTTCTACACATCACCCTTTCGATATCACTATGAAGATAAAAGCTTAATTAATTTCAAGTTACGGAGGTAACAATCTGAGTTTTACACCTCTGGAAACTTCCGGTAGTCGGTTTCGGACACCACCCACCCCCCCCCCCCCCAGTAAATACATCCGAATAATCTTAAGTTACGGAATTTAAATAATACTTATTACTTTAGCTATTTTCCCATGCGATGTAAGTTCTACATCTTATTGTACGCACCGTGATAACCTGATTGGCGGTAAGAGCTTTTACATACATAACCAAAATGTAACTATTTTTATTAAAACTCTTTATTACGGTTATTTAACACGTTAGCTGCCACGAACCTCACCGGCGGGTCACAACTGATTTTAGTTATGGACTGCGCGATACACCGGTGGGTCAGACGAGTATGGGACACTGTGACTGCTCCTCGGCACCTTTTGAATGTTTAATTTTATTTATACTTAATTTACAATGTGGCAGCCAACGAGTTACTTGTGTGCCTTACTCGTCTGTAAAATGGACTTGGTCCTGATCACCTAAATTGTAGAAGTCAAGAGTACGATAATAAATCAATAAGATAATTATTGTTATCAACACCCAAATTGTGAGATGATAATTTAAACCATATGAAAGAGTTCGGTTTACATTTTATGTAACGTGTATATATTAAATATACGTAGTGTACATACACACACACAAACATATTAAAATAAATTCTCCAAGTATTGTGTTACCGGTTTTATACTCGCAACTATGTTAAAGTAATTTTCACTATTATAGTTGTTATATACATACAGAAAACAAGAAACTTGATAACCCCAATCCTTTCGGAATGAAAAAATTGAAGTTTTATATACTCTTGTGTAAGCACCGACATAAAAGAAATGCTCAACACCTTCATTTATATACATACCCAAAATCAATATTTCAATTCACCCCTGAACCGAAAAGTCTATCTTCCGAAAGTGCTGTGTGGTTATTTCTCTTTTCTTTTAACCCTACTAGCGGGATTTCTCAGTATCATAACCGTATATGAATACATACACACACACACACACATATATATAACTTTTTCTACCAATTATACTATTAATCGAACAAAATGTTCAAGACATTTTTCCAAATTTTTAACACCCTTGTTTTAGGTGACACAGACGTACTTTGATAAAAAAAAAGTAGATTTACGCATGTGTATCCATATACAAGCTTATAACTCAAACTTAACAACTGAAGTAAAGTAACTGACACGTACAATTTACAGATAAAAATATTTTAATACATGTACTTGGAAATGTGGCCCGATTGACAATGACAAAGAAAGAGAAATAGTAAAGTTGTATGTATTACTTTAAAACAACAAATTTTATGAATGCGTCAGTAAAACTTGTGATCAGAATGTTGATAAACTTACTAATGTTTATAGTATTATTTACATCCCACTATTTTAAGTTCTGAGATTCATTATTTGTTGTGGTTAATAATAATAATAATATCATTTCATTTATACATAGTATTTCATACTTTTGAAAGATCCTAAGTATTTACATAACACTTGAAGCATCATATTTATTTTTAAGTTTTAGTAACGAGCTTACTTTAATGTTTGTACTTCATATCAAAAGTTGTTCGATCAACGAAAACAACTGGCTCTATCTGTGTTCTGAATTTATCGAGCTGTAAACTGCGTCTTCTATACCGCTACACATCGAAAAAGACGCTTCTAACAAAGCTTGAAAACGCCTGACAGTAACATCGGGTTTGGCCGCTTACCTTGAAACAAGAATAAACTTCCCCTAAATCATGGTTCAGCCGAAATGTCTCGTGCATTTCTTACACAGTTTAATAATAATAAAAGATGGAACTAATTCTCCCGTAGATGAAAAAAAAAGGTTCTTTATATAAAATGAAACTGCACATACTAGAATCATAGAGTAACTGATCTAAGATAATTCTACAAACCACAATAATACTAATAGCAACAAACACCTACATAAACAACGAAGATCCCACGAAAGCTAACTTTGCCGGTTGGTCAATGATAAGCCTACCGGTAGGAAACTGTTTTGTGTTCCGAAAATCTCGTTCGTCTTGGTTGTATTTTCGAGATTGTACGGGTTTTGATATTATCACATTTTAACATTACATTATTTAAAAAAATCGTGCATATCTTCAGAAGTGAAATGTATATATAGATCATTTGAAACTCACCTCTTCATAAGTTGGTTGGACAGCAACATTTCCTTTATAACTTGTTGGAAATCGAGACTGTAGTGCATTGTCATTCTTTATCGACTCGGCGTCTGCTTTCGCCGCCATCTTACTATTACGATTTGTCACGCACTGCTCCAACGAAGATCTTATTAATGTTGAAACGCCACGCTCTTTTGAAGATCGGATATTATTTTAACAGTTCTGTTGCAATTTCTTTTATTCTTTATTATTACAGTGGAGAAATGTGCATTCGTAGCACACACTTTAAACCTAAAAATGCTACTTTTTTATGATAATTAAATGAATATTATGATACATTAAGTAGAATGGGGAAAAACATATAACTAATATTTGATAAATAAGCGAAAATCAGTCATCAAATTTTTTTTGGTCCTAATCATAAAATTTAATACACCCATATTACCAACTGTATCTGCACACATAAGATAACAGTTTATTATATTACTATTTACTTTTCTATTTTTCAATAAACTAAATTTCTGGAAATGGTCTGATAAAAAATTGGGGGTGTATTTGCAAGTCCAGCATGTAATATTATATATAAATATAGCGCAATATCATGACTTAAAATTTCTATGTTTTTGTTGAACAAAATGTAGCGAATTAGCCTTCTTGGTGGTGCATGCAGTATTGGAACGTTTGTTCATAGTTTTCTACTATTTCCACCAATGAACACTAAATTTCTTCCCGTTTTAAGATTCACAGGAGCAGTAAGATTCTGTTTACGTACATAATTTAAGAACAACAAGGCACACATTGGTCCATCTTGGCCCTACCATTCACTATATTAAACTATAGAATAAAATTAAACACTAAGCCAGCCTTATATGTCCTTGTGTTCCGTATATCTTCTCAGATATCATTCCAAGATGATTTTAGCCATTATTTATATTTGAAATATTTAAATATTACATAGATTTAGGATAAAGAGACGGTCAGACTGCGTGGCAGAAACTAAAGAACATCTAATGGTTTATATATTCACATTTTAAGTGAATTAAATATTATTACAGCAAAATTATTTCACTCAATCAACAGACAAAAGTAGACGAAAAGTACGTAAATTTAGAGTTAATAATGGATCTAATTAAAATATTAACTTAAACAAAATTGTTGTATACATTAAAACGTACATAATTTTTTTCATTTTATTTGCATTTTCTACGTCCTTGTATTACTACAGACATTTAAAAAATCATATATTCGGGTTTTTGTTTGTTTACTGTCGAGCACAATGCTACACAATGAACTATCGGTGCTCTGCCCACTGTGGATATTGAAATCTGATTTTTAACGTTATAAGTCCTCAGACTTACTACTGAGTCACCTAGGGGGTTTAATTCAGATGTACGTGCGTGTTTGACAGAACACTTTGTTCAATAAAGTCGTTAACATGACTTCGCTCTAGTTAGCCATTGTTCTGTGTATTGTTCACCTGAGGTATTGTTTTCATGTGGGAAAGGTTTCTGCAAAATTGTACATACAAAGTGTGAAAATGGACAGTGACCTTTTCCGCTGATAGCTCAGACGATATCTCGAAGATGTTACTTTCCTTATGTTTCGATGAGAACGACCAACAATGACAAAGGTTGTGTACTCTCGTCGAGAGAGACGACATTGTAGAATTTTGTATATAATGCTATGCTCTCTCGATTAGCTCCCTCGATCTCTCTCAAGCTCCAACCCTCAGTTTGATAAGTGAAGAATTAGACTTTCCTTTAAGTAATAAAATACTCAAATATTCTTATAAGGCTTAGTGATTAATGTGAACTAGTTATTAATAAGCCTCTAAATAATTTCTTAGGAAACCTTAGACAGTTAAATATCTAGTAAAGGTTCTGTCTTTCGTCCTATGCACTTGCTTAACTTTAATTGTTTTTAAGTTTTAAATAAGGTTTATTGTCCCTGTGTGATTTACATTGTTTACAGTCTCTTTCTTTCTCAGTTTCAGTCAGAGAGTCCGGATTTACTCCATAATTTGTTAGACCCTACTGTTATTCTGGGGATCATATTTTGTCACTGTTAAGGGAAATCAGTTTTACGTGAAAATACCATACTTGCATCATCCAATTATTTATTATTGTTCTTACTGGCATATCAAAAAGGAGTTGACTTTATTCAAGTAAGGATGGTTATTTATCTCTTTGCACATTTTGTACATAATATGGTATGTTCAAGAAGTAATTTGATATTGTTGGCTCATTTGTTCGCTTATTGGATAGAAAACTGACTAGATAGAAGAAAACAGAGGGTTGCTATAAATGGAGCTCAGTCAACCTGATTAATGTTATGAGTGGGGTACCTCAGGGCTCAGTGTTAGGACTTTTGCCATTTTTGATTTACAAAAATATCCAATAGATTATTTATATTTCCTGATAACATTAAAGTTTTGGGTGTCGGTGACTGTGAGAAGGGCTCTACTGCTTTACAAAAAATTTATATTATTTGGTGAGTTGGGCAAATAAATGGCAGATGGCAAGGTAATGCATATGGGATATCAAAATTTGAATTATAAGTATACTTTTGATGGGTATAATCTAAACAGTGTCATGGAAGAAAAAAATATTTTGGTGTTCTGGTTGATCGGTCTCTTAAGTCATTCAACCAATGTTCTGTTAATAATGGCATGACAAATATGATTTTAGGTTGTATATACAGAAATATTGAATACAAGATTAATAAGGTTATAATATCAATATATAGGTCATTGGTTAGGCCATGTTTGGGCTTCTAACCTCAGAAAGGACATTAAATTGTTGAAAATAATTGAGAAAAGGGCTACTAGGATGATACTTGGTATAATCGTTTTCATATTTAATGGTGAGAATGGTAAGAATAGGAGAAAAAGTATAAAGTTTGGCATGTTAGGAGTCAGTTTCAGCTAAGGCAGCTCCCTTTTTTTCTAACAAGGTGGTTGGCGGATGCAGCTGATTTAAGGGAGTTAGAAAGATTAATATATATTTGAATGATAAGGGCTGGCTTTTAGTTTTTTTTTAAAGTTTAGTTTAATTTATTAGATTAGACAGCCTAGATGGAGTAAAGGGTCCCTTGCTGTCCTTTAATGTCATATGTTAGTTATGTTATCTAATATACATAAAAGTCACGTCACGCCACGCTTGATCTCTCGAAATAGAAGGAGTCATAAAAGCCAAAATCCATTTATCTAGATAGAATACTTCGATTACTGTCTGCTCATTACGGTTTTAGTAAGGGGGAGTGCAAAGGGGTCATGAGGGGGGTGCCGTGAAACCTTATAAGTGTTGTGAATATTGGTATAATAAGCCGAAAGTAAAAACGTAGTGTGGGATCAACTAGCCTAGAGCCAAGTGCATAAAATTTATCATGAAAGTAATAATATCGATACAATTTTAAACTTATATAATTTCTGAATTAAACTATTTTTTGTTATATCACTAACGTTTTTAATTTTAAAAAAAACCTCTTTAGTCAACGGAAACTCTAAGTTAAGAAATCAATAAATATTTTTTCCAGTTTTGTTGCCTGTACATTTCATTTTATACTTCAGTTTATAGACTAACAGCAATATTAGGTTATACTTTTGTTGCTAAATAACATGACATAAAAGTCATTGCTGGAACATAGTGTTACCAAAACGCACTGGCTTTTCTATATATTAGAAGTTGTTAATCTAACTGATTTTTACCAGTAATTATTCTTATGAATACGGCACGAATTCATTTCACGAATGATCTTAATTTTGATTGGCTCGCAAAGGAATTTACCGACGTTAGACCGCCTCGACTGCACTTTTCTGCCTTTTTTGTTGGTCAAGCTTGATTTTGCAAAATTTATTATATTTCGATTAGCTATGAAATATGAGGTTAGGATATACTATGGGGTAGGGATGGTAGTACCTGCCCCATCATTTTTGACGAGCTATACGCTAGTTAATAATAAATTGACCAACAACGATGAAAATGTTATGTAGAGAACATACTACATGTTTCAACAGAACGTTGGTCTGTCTTTTTCAAACAGGCTTGACTCCAACTATAAGAACGTATCAAATCATGCCTAGAAAATATTTGTACGCCAGAAATACTTTACCTGTATATGGGAATGACAACACTGATTAACAAGACAAAATTCTTTCAGGAATATACACAATTCTATTGTTACGTCTGTGTTCGTTTGTTAATTTTTCGTAGAAATTCTTTCCGAGA